GGAATGCCGGCGTCAGTCATTCGCAGTCAGAGTGTGTTCGATCTGGAACTCTCTCCCATCCTAAGTCGTCTGTGCTCCAAGCAATGAATCTTTCAAACCGAGACTCGATGAAACATTAGCACATCTTACATTCCAACATAAGTGAAGCTGCGTGCAGTAGTGAAAGAATCCCGTGTCATGTGACATTTTACACAAGGAATTGTATGTATCACTGTGTTTTAACCACAACACGAACCTATGGGACAAGAAAAACATGAACTTGTAAGTTATTTCCATAATAAATCTTTGATCTTTGGATTTTAAGTACGATCTCAGTGTTTTCAGTTAAAATCATTGCTCGCTACTACAACATCCAGTAATTGTTTTCCTGTTTTTGTCAACTCACCCCTAAGAGTTGCCGCAAATCGGCTTCTCGAAACCGGAAAGGAATGTTCGAGACATGCAATCGCTTCGGGCCCACATTGACCAGGTTTGCAGTCAAAGATGTCGTGGCCGCGGTCCCAGTGCTCGAGGCCGGTGTCACAGCACTCGAGGCGGTGTCCATTCCCATGGAGGATTCCGTCACTGAACCGACGCCCGACTTGGCATCCGTGGCAACCATGAGTGCGGAGGGAATGTGATTAAGCAGAGTTGAAGTGGTCACAGCCCCGGCAGATGTGGCCGGCAAGAGGAGTGGATTGACCAACGGGGTATCGTTGGTTTGGGTGCCAGGGTTCAAGTGTAAAGAACCGGTACTGTCCAGGACAGACGAGCTGAATGATGAGATCGGATTCGAGACAGATGCAAGGGAACCGGTGGTACCGTTCAGCAACCCGATGCCCGCCGGATCAGTGGGATTTAGCTGAAATGTGGGAGAAATAAAACAACGTGTTGCATACCGCACTTGTCAGTCATTAGGATAGAAAATATTCAATACCAAAACGGATTTAGTTAAAGAAATATTCGACTAAAGTTCAAAAAACAATTAACATAATACCTTTATCACAAGCTTTCATTTATTGTACATTGAGCTAGTTTAGAATTGAGTCGTTGACTCTATTTATTCACAGCGGTTGGGTTGTGGTACTCTTTCTGGTGGCCGTAAAATGTTCAAGATTCAAACCCAATCAGTGCTATTCAACTGTGGTGGGGGGTTGGCTCAGTACAACGACTGTGTTCTTCCGAGATGTTATATAGCTCTCTGTTGTGTTTACCGGTGGTTAGTCTGATGATTTCTGGAACCGATCATTCGTTACTCCACGATTGTTAACATCTATAATAAGAATGTTTAACATGCACAGATACAGTTTTATGTTCAAAAGCGACCTTCTAGGAATTTCACTGTCAAGAATAGGAGGCAAATCGAGAAAATTGGAGCTCTGAGGGTAAGCTGAAAAATAAACTTTGTGCCTCCCATTAAAATATCTAAGTCACTAAGTACAACAATGAGAGATTTATTCCACTACACTTATGACTGACATGCTCACGTGATCCTTTTAATTCAATCACCTGTCATCTAACACCCGAAATCCAAGAGTTTTTCTACACTCCGCACATATGCTACAATGAGTCAACTGAAATAAAGTTAAGTTGTTCCTTATAAATTCTACCGGGTTATTTTGGCTGAAAGATTGTATGATTATACAACACCAACGGACTTCGGCTATTCGTATTAATTTTGTCATACAGACTAAATAAACTGCTTCCGGAGCCATAAAATAATCTCTTAGATGCTATGAAACAACAGTTGGTCAGATCAAATTTTCTATATGAGCGTGTCGACTGAGTATAGGTTCTATAAAGCTTAACTGGTCGAACAATTGCTGACCCGATAACAATCAATTGACACATGATCCTGTGCAATTTTACCCCTGCCTTAAATAGTGTTGTTCTCTGACTTCGGCACTGTGTAAGACGAAAACGTAGGTATCAAAAATTCAACACAGAGCTTTGTTCATGTTATATGTGGATACCTGGTGCGACAAAGTTGGGACCGAAGAGAGCGAGGAAACCGTTACATCTGTACACGAACCCAAAGCTCGATTACTACCAACCATCACCACAGAGGCGTCCATGAGGCCGGAGTGTGCGGCGCTCGTACTGTCCGTCCCCGGCACGGATGAAGCAGCAGCAGCAGCAGCAGCTGAAGCGGAAGCCATAGAAACGAATGGGGATGAGTTGATCGTGCCAACTGAAGCGGCTGCAACAGCAGCTGTGGTGGTATTGCTACTATCCATCAGTTCGTTTGCATTCGTGGTGAATGGAGCCATCGAACAGATGGTTGTTGTGGAACCCGGGAGGTAGTTGGAATGAGGAGTACAATTCAAGGAGTCGGTTGAGGTGGTATTCGTTTGGGACATAGGAGTGCTAGAGTTGCAGGTGGTCGGAGCTCTGAATTGTGTCAGCTGCTTCGTAGACTCGGTTGCTTCACGATAAATGTCCACGTTTTGTACAGACAAATTGGACGAATTGCAAACAGATTGAGATCGCCAAAAATAGTGGGGAGTCTGTGGAAAGGTGATGGGGATGAAAAATCGTGTAGAATAGATGAGCGATTTCGGGGAAAACAAATCTGAATCTAGTTAGGCTAAAAAAATTCCCTTGGATTTCTTATCTGTGCCACTGACATGTATAGTTCTATCAGTTCGGATAGCTTTACTTCCATAGTGGTTTGGTCTAAACCAGCAAGTACGATTTTCAAACTGATGCACATGAGTGAAATACTGGCAAACAATGGTGATCTCGAACCGGTTGTTCGCCTGCACATCGAGAGTGAGGATAATTAAAAAAATGGAGTCTCTGGTTCGGTTCCCGTCCAGAAGAAGAACAATTCTTGCTAATCACACGAGGTCCGTGGATGGGACGGACCTCCGTGAAAAATGTGGAGCGTCGTGCTTATGATTATTGAAGAAAATTAGCTTGTCTTAGCTACCATGAACAAACCAAAACACAAAGCCATCAATGCCGTCTGTTTTGGTTTGTTTTGTTTGCGGTGGCTAAGACAAGGTAATTTTGTTCAACAATTGTTGTTGCTCATGTTAAACACGTGCCAAAGTGGAAACCAATCACGTTCAACAGAGGAAACATGGGTACAGCTTTTGCACTGTCGATTTTTCCGATGGGCCTGTATAAATGTGCAAAGATTTGGACAGGTCGGGTATTATCAGACTGGAATAAATTACACAAAGATCTCAATGAAAGTTCGGTAGCCAAAACAATTAACTAAAAGCACCGTTATCTCGGGTCAAACGTCGTTTTGA